GCCAATGAAGCGCAGTGCGAACGCGACAGTCAGATCACCGCTGATGTGTAGGGTAACAGCCCCCTAAAGAATCTCCAAACTGCAGCGATAAGCCCCCTGACAAGGTTTTGATCTCGCCCTCAACGTCACCACAGTCCCCGCCCTCACTGAGCCTCCCTTCTTAAGCCTATGTCGCCGCTGCTCCTAGTATGGAACAGCGTTCTGTTCAGCAACAGTACTCTAAACGACGCCTAGTACAGTGATAGCACTCCACCTGAGTCCAACTCAGCAACAGCGCGGTCCGCTGCAGTCGCCGTCGAGTACTCAGCAACCCCAACGACAAGCAACAGTAGTAGTGTGCGCCCAGCCCACTGTAGGCCTGCAGAATACACCAGCAGGGACTAGGAGGCCCTCAACAGCCAGCCCCGCAGGGGTCCTCGGCGGGAAGCAGCGCACAGCCTGTGGGTAGTGGCAGCTTGTTCCCGCAGCAGCAATAACCCGTCTGCAAAGGCCTGGTCACTCTCTCAACCCGTCGAGTTCAACAGCTGGCCAGGGTGCAGATATGTGGTCTAGGATCACACTGTTCAAGTTGAAACGTTTCGTGCTCTACTTAAGGCGCAAGAAGAAGCAGCAATCTGGTCAGGTGCAGTCAAAGTAGTAATCCGCCTGATACGAGCTCAAACAGCAGGGTCCGACCTAGGCCTCCAGCAAGTTTTCCGCATCCGTGACAGTAATATGCAACAGCTGGACATCGTACTAGCGCTCAAAGCCATAACGAAGCATCGGTCACCATTCCGCCCAGCAAGTGCATCAGCGGTATTTGCTCAACAGCTTAGCATGGTACAACCAAAACGTAGTACAAACGATCAACCCCCCCCCCCCTTTTTATGACAGCTAGCCGTTTCCTCAGTTTAGAATTTCGCTACCTTAGGCCAATCTATCGCTGTGCAGCCTAGAAGGGCTTGATTTGAATAGAGCACGCCCTATGCTTTATTCGAAACGTAGTAAAAAGCAGCCGACCTGTACACACTTACACCTATGTACAGTAATCAAGTATCGCTGCCGTGCCCGGCCTGCACAGTCCAAAGCCGGGTCAAGGCCTTAGGAGGCAATGGAAATACCACAGTTGCTCAGAGTAGCACAGAAATGAGCACCACGAAACCCGTAAGGCCCAACAGCAAGACTCAGCGGGACTGCACAGTGGTTGTAGCGAGCACAACAACCTATGGTACTTGGCCTAAGTAGAGAGCCTAGTACAACCACTGAGAAACACGACCCACACCAGCTGAGACATGGTATCCTGCTGTTAAGAACTCAGTCGCCCTAAGTATCAGTTCAACAGAAGGAGGAAATCTTCAGCAAACTGGTACTTCGAGCATTTAGCAGCAGCGGCACCTTCCAAAAAAAGAAGAACAACAACCTCAATTACTTATAGCAACTGTTGTAGCATTTTAATCCGCGACCCGCAGCTATCGAGAATGAGACATGTAGACTAATGACGCCTTGAGACAGCTAACTGCTATCACTAAACAAAGACTAGGAGAAGAAAAGAAAAAAATTATTTGCTGCCGTGGGATGGGAATCTGCCATGCCCTTCGTGGTTCCACAGGTCACACTACATTTCGTCACTACAATATTCAAACAGGCCGTAAGTTATCAAAGGTGACCCAATGCAGTCCTTTCAGCAAGGGCACGACAGCCCACAACGATGCACAGCGACACACAACGACGGTCTAGCGCAGTACCTCTGTGGAGTACACAGCAGCACGCGTCGCATGGGCACAACCAGATGTTCAGTGGGGGCACAGTGAAATCCCTCTCTCGATGCTGGTACTAACTATTGTGGAAACTTGAGTTAGTGCAAATCACCCCTCCCGTAGAACCTGGGAAGAGTCATTGGCTTTTTTTTTTTTTTTTTTTTTTTTCCTGCTACTGCATCCCCCTTTTTGCACGTAGCCTTACTTCAGTGTCTAGATACATATAAACCCCCCCCTAATACTCCCCTACTTGTTCAACTCTCTCAATTCTTCTTACGGACCTTCTCCTCCTTGTCTGTCACTCCTCCCTATAACACTGGTTACTAATACTATTACTTTTTTCTATATCTGGCCAGTATTGATATGAAACGAAGCCACTCCTGGATATGTCTCTCATTGTCTACGACGCCTGGCTGAAATAGTGGCCAGGTTCAGGGATTGCAGCCACAACAAACTAGCACGGACTGTAAAGGAGCTGGATGGGCCGTGAAGACAGTTGCTTGCAAACAAGAAACCCAATCACCACAAGGAGGTGAAGAGGGTGTACTGGGTGCTGATAACGGACACAGGAACTAAACGCCTGGATAGATATCACACCATGGGTAGAAAAACGAGAAATGGTCCTCCGCTAGAAAAATAGAAAAATTCGATGGCCGGCTCCAAACGTTCAGCCATAGTGGCGCAGCCCCAATCTCCCTTACCGACCAAACCACTGCTCAGATTCAAAGTTCGACGTGTCCATCTGATTCAGAATGCCTTAAGACCCCCATATAGCATCTTCCCCCGCTCAATTTCACCAAGAAATGAGAATATTATAGTGTTTTTCCTCCTTGTCCTTCGTCTGCCCTCTCTCTTCGACACTCC